AAACCAAAGTTGGCCTTGTACTTATGTTACAAAAATTCAAATACGATTTGGAAGATACACTCAAAAATTGTGAACTGGAATTTGAGCCAAGGCATTTTTTGCTCCAACCGCGTAACGGAATCAATTTGCGCATTTCCAAATGTGCTCATCAATTCGTCAACGAACATATCATGTAAAAAAGCACAAATCCTCATCCAATCACTGAAGACAAGCTGCATTCGGCATGGTTGAATGAGTGCCGGTCTTGAAACATGTGTCGTTGGTACTATTCTCTTTTTTCTGTCAAATTTCAGTAAATCGTTATTATTTCACGAATTTCTATTTATATATTCCAAGAATTTTTATGGTTTATTACAACATATCCAATAAAGACTCGAAGTGGTAAGTCGGTTGAAATCATTTTCATGTCCATAAACAATTATATATAAAAAGTATGAATAATAAAAGCGAATTATAATATAGAAAAAAATGATTTTTTTATTTTATTAAAACTGTGAATGATGCTTAAACTAAGAAACAATTCTGCAGGATTGGGTAGTCGTGAAAGGAAGGAAGAATAGGTTCACTCTACTGGACATGCGCGGAGTAAAGGATTCAAAACGTCAAGTTCTCTGATTTTTTGGGATGGCAATGTTTATTGTTTATTTCGCCTTGAAAACATACAGAAACATTAATCGCAAAAATAAAGAAATTTATTTTCCTGAAAGAATTGGCTAAAATTTTAAATAGTACCAAAAAAAATGAAATGGATGAAAATCAAAAGAATTGGAATTGTACACAATTTGTGGATTTTATATTTTTCATTTTTGTAATTTTCATTGGATTCGCTCCTCTTTCGTTTTCAGCAATTCATCCTTTACAAATTACTTTCGAAGAATATCCGGCGCTGTGTCAAATGTGGTTTGTAGTGCACGGCATTGTACGTAAGTATTTCATGCTATAGAAATTTAAACTATAATTTTTACTAATTAAAATTATGAATTGTTTACAGTGTATTCCACACTACCACTATATAAATTCACAACATTCACACTACCATGGGAACGAGTGGTCAAAGTTGTCATTCACATTGGAATATTTTTATTGTTTGAAGCATGCATTTCTTTGTCGTTATTCTTTGTGTGGACAAAATATCCAATGGCGCAAAATCATCCTCCCGGAATTTGGACTCCTCTCGTTGAAGTAATATGGTTTAACGTTGGACTTTTGCTAGTGGCCATTAACCTTTTTAATCATTTGACATTAATTTACATGGCTTGTAAGGTAAATAAAGCAAAAAAAAAACAAATAAAAACTCTCCATTTAATCTAAATATGTGATCTATTTGTTTTCAGAAAGAAGAAGACCAGGATATCGAACTCAACGCCATTCTAAGAGCTTTGGCTAGTTTCGTGTCTTTCAGTTTAATGTGTATTGCATTCAGTTTAATGTTATTCAGAACAGTTCCAACACATGTAATTTTTGTTATTTATGGCAGCTCATATTATATGTGTATGTTCGTTTGGAAATAAGTAATTACATTTCAATTAACACTAATCAATAACCACATATTTCTCAATTAATCCAGCTTACTTCAATGCAGACTTTTTAACGATAAGAGATGCATTTTCCAAAAACGCTAATATCTTCATTAGTCTAGGCGGATACGCTGCTCAAATGGCACATGAATATGGGTACATTCCTTTTATTTTTTTAGTGCTGAAAGCATTTACAGAACAATTTATCGCGGCCATAGTTCACAACAATCCCATTGAGGAAGTACTAAAACAGACATTCCGGTCTCTTGCGATATTTATGAATTATTCGATTTTCATTATCGCCATTTACGGTGTTTCACTTGGTACTGAAGAAACGGAAAATTTTTGCTTAAAATATCAAGTAATTTCAATCTGTATATTTTTTCATAGGTCAACTTATGTGGACATCTGCACAAATTAAGTTTGAAGAAAGACTTCATTTCATAAACGTTATTCCATTGACTGTAGAAAACCTATATCAACGATTTATCAGATGGCGTTCAGAAAAACGGGTACAAAATGTTTGAATCGTCTCACAATTCTGGGGATGCATATTCAATTTGCCGGCTATGTCAGAATTCTGGGAGGTATTGAATTCGGGCGATAATTATGTTAGTTATAGTCTAATTGCTTAATGAATATTCCAACTTTTGATTTGTCAATAGAATTTTGAATTTTTTTCTTGATTGTCTGTAGGTGGATCGAGCTTTCCAATATTAATAGCAAAAGGAATTGCTGCATCAAAACTTGAATATGCTTTTACTGAAACGATATACTATCGTCAACGACCATATCATGTAAAAAGCACCAGTTCTCGTCCGATCACTGAAGTTAAGCTGCATTGAGCATGGTTAGTACTTGAATGGGTGACCGTCTGGGAACACCATGTGTCGTTGGCACTATTCTCTCTTTTTTTTGAGTTTTGGATTGTGTATTTTTCTTTCATAAAATCTATGTACATACTGAATTAGAGGAGAATAAAAATTTATATTTTGAAGAAATCATAATAAAAGAACTAAAAAATATCTTTTCCAATCATTTATGATGACATGACTTTTAACCTCAGCTTTCCAATATAGGGTAAATGAATAGGCTATCAAAAATGAAGAGATTCCAATTGATCAGCAATCAATTTTCAATTTGTGTTAAAAAAAAATGTTGGTCGATCCTAATTTCACATATAAAATATACGGCAAACGGCATATAAATCATCGCATCCGAAATATGGACGTTGAAAACGAAATACACACATTTTTCTTACTTTTTTTGTAACACAGAAGATGATTGAATGGATCAAAAACTACAGTGTAATTTGTTCGTTGCTTTGGGAAGATGTCACGTCATCTTGGTTCAAACTAACTTCGCTCTGAAGCTCTATTAACAACAAATATGATTGATTTGCGTTTCGGTTTATACCGTTTTTGGGTCGAAGGCCACTGCCAAGTGAAGATTTTACTCGATTCTCTATGTATCTAAGCAACAAATTAAAACGTCATTTGAATTGTTAGACAAAATTAGATTTTTTATTATTACATATGAATAGCAATTGAAGTCATATCGATAATAATTAATTTCCAAATCGTTTCTTCTTTTGTTCTCAGAAAAATAATTCCAAAGCGTAGTTTTTCTTTACATTACTCATTTAAATTCACTTGAATTCGTCGCAAAATGTTTTTTTCGTCCTCATTCAGATGTTGTGCGTATTCGGCGAAGTTGTCGGTGGTGGCAAAGTTTTGTAAGAATTTCGTAAGTGTTTCTTTTAGGCTGGTCTGAAAGATTGGATCTTGTTCCAATTCCTTGAGCAATTGATCGTCTTCATCATCCTCCTCATCATCGTACCAAAGGTCTGATGTGTGAAATACTTTTTGTGGTGAGCCGCCGCCACCGCCAATGGCACCGCCGCCATTTTGCTGATGATTTGCACCGGTTTCATCTGTCAATTCATTATCGTCTTCGGTGCAATCGCTTTCATCGCCAAACAAGATAGTTTCATTCAAATGGTTCATTTCGTTGATCAACAGCTTGAAAATTTTCACCATGACTGTGAATAGAGCATTAACCATCAGAGTTAAAATGTGATATTGTGAGAAGGAGATGGTGTCTGAACAAGTTTTTACTTACCAGGAACGTTGACCCATTGTTGTTGAACGTTATTTGTTTGTTGGCGCGTTCGGATACGTCCAGTATTTGGCACATTTATTTCAACCATATCACGAATGTTAACCGATACCAAACGGACATCGTTCGTTGTAACACCGTGCTCGAACAGTTTACAAAGTGCCATTGTGCTTACTTTGCGCTCGTATGTACCGTAGAACATTGGTTGTCGTGGAAGCCAATTTGACAATACAAACTGAATAGCTGGTTCGACGCCGGTCGGTCCTGGGACGGTGCTCAAGAAATTCAGCACAGCATCCATTTGGGTTATGATCAAATGAGCAAATGTCATTACCAGACTCATAACGACATTCAACGCTTCGACCAATTGCAGTTTACTAATCACAGCCTTCAGTAGCAACTGAATGTTTTCACCAAGGAAATTGCCCGCTTTTGTTACGATCGTGATAATCAACCGGCCGACAAATGTGGCCGTGTATTCATTTGACATCGGATTCAGCAGCATGGTGGCCACTTGCATGATGTAGTTGAGACCTTCGCCATTGTTATACGAGCAAATTTGTTCGGGAGCAACTGTGTTGAAGTGACAAGCAATTTTCGTTATAAAAAAAAAAGTCATTCGGTTCAAAATGCACCCTAATTGTCTTACCGCTGATGAATGTGCGCAAACATTCACCGCCGCTTTGCATGATCGCATTGTCGTCAGTGCTCAGAATGCACTTGACCGTTGCTGGGAATGCTGTATTCACCAAAACTGGGCTCAATGGAGCCGGTGAATGTTGCACAACTGAAGAAAGAATGTCAATGGCCGTGTCTTGCATGCAGTTTTTCTTTACCAAATCAGCATTATTTTCCAAGTTCAAAATGCTCACCTATTGGCAAAAGGAAAATTGAAAATATTTTCACTATCGAATGTAATCGATAACGTTGACTTGTGTCATACCAAAGTGGGCACCAAACGTTCCTGAAGTGCCACAATGCAAAACTCGTTCTCGGCCAAAACGCAAATAATTTCCTGCACCTCCTGCAAAACGAATGGATCTTCGAAGCTCTTCAAAAACATGGCAATTGTGAATGAAATCATCTTCGAGTGGTTGTTGGCCGTGAAGTTTTTGTCAAACTGTCGAGTAAAAAAAAACAATATAATGAAGCTTAACTTCACTTAAGATCGAAAAAGAGTGTATATTTACTGCTGCAACTGCCGAAATAGTAGACAACACATCGATGAGAATGCTACCTTTGGCTCGTGTGGCGATGTCAGTGATGAAATTCAAAAAACTGGGTAACTTTTCGATGATCATGCTTCTCTGTTCGTCTGATGCCGTTTTCAAGTCTGTGCAAAGCTCAAATAATGCTCTCAATGCACTGATTTGAACCAACATCGGTTTGGCTCCGTTCAAATTGTTGGTCATACAGTCGAGTATTGCTTGCAAATTGGCTCGATCGTAAACATCGGCATATTTGCTTAGAACCCACAAGCATCTGCCGTGCAAAAATGGTGAGACATCACCTTGATAACCGCTACCATTTCCGCCTTGGCCAAGCATGGTCTTTGTGTATGCCAAATATTCGCGTAAATTGAAACTCTTTCGCTTTGCTTCGGGCGTTTCAACAATGTACTTCTTCAGGAAGCCCACAGCTGTGACAGATGCCTCAATAATCTTCCACCAATGTGGGTTATTTGCATTTTTTTCCGCTTCAGCGACTTGAACATGACGAGTGAGAGCATCCGAAATCGATGGCAGCAACACTTCGGCCCCGAATTCATCACCAATATTCACCAAAACATCTTTGCTCGAAACACGAATCGAACATTCAACGATTTCCGCACTCATGTCATCCACATACAGCTCAGCATCATCACTCCATGCGGCCACCTGCTCTTCGCTAATTTGCATGTATACAATGGATATGTAAACCAAATCGGTAAGCACTGTTTTCACAATCGATTGAAAACGATGTTGCTCGACAATCGAATGTATGAATTCAAACAGTTGCAACACCAATGTAATGAAATTGTTCAACTCATCATCTTCTTGGCCATTCTCAGAGTCAGTTTCGTTGACCACAGCCTTTACGTAGATCTCAGCCGTTTGGGTTAGCAATTGCCAAACAGGTGGAAGGATTTGGTCGTTATATGTTTGAATGAACTTCGACATTTCGTTCACCATGTACGTTAGAACTAAAACGGATCATTGCATTATTTCATTTAGTATGATTTGGTTTTTATTCATTTCAGAGAAGAAACGAAACACATTCATTCTAATTTAAAGTCTACGCATACCTTTAATAATTTCCGTTTTGAGTGCAAAACTAGTGTGCTGTCCCGTTGGAGTGCCCAGTGCGCTGATCAGCTTATTTATAAATATTGGCAACACAGGATTCAACAATTTTGCTTTTTCCTCTTTGTTTGGCATGTTCTGGTTGATTGCTTTCAGTAGAGATTTGAATATGGTCACGGCACATGTTCGTGTGCTCACACTGTACATCTAAAAGAATAAAAATGCTTATTTAATCTGGTCGACAATGAGAATTGCATTTGAGCACGCACCTGTTCGGCTTCAAAGATGCGATAAATTTCGTTCAAAATCACCGGGCCAACGACGGCAACTTGACTATCCAGATGATAAGAGAATTCGACCAGCACTTGCATGGCACCATGGATGGAATCCTCATTACCGCCAAGACACTTTACGATAATATCAAACAGATCGGTCCATGTGTGTGGCCAATCAATTGAGGCTATCGTTGAGATTGTGTACGCTACCGATGCACGGATCTTGCTATTTGGATCGTACAAACCATTTGGTAGGATTTTGCGAATCATTTCCTTCGCTTGATTCGTAGCCACAACGGTTTTTATGTGATCGACATTTTCATCATTTGCCCAATGATCCTCCACGTATTTTTTCAGCATCACACTAGCCAATTGCCGCAGAGCCAAGTCAAAGCTTTGGTTCATCGTAAACTCAGCCAAAAATACGCCATAACCTACAACAAATATACATCGGAACAATGGAGTTCATTATTGACGCAATTTTTCGGAAAATTAATGTAAAACTTGGGCGTACGGTGACGTACCTTCAGTGAATTCAAGCTGGTGAATTCTTCCTTCGGCGCTCGTACGAATATCTTTGTCAGCGCTCAAAATGTTCTGTAGCTCTTCAAACAATGCCTGTTTTACAGACTCACCGCTTTGAAATGCCAATGCCATCTTTTTTTCGTCACTGTGGAAAATGTCCAATCATGAAAATTAATACAAAATGATTGTAGTCAAATATGAATCTCCAAATCATCAACTATGTCAAATGCACACAAATTTACCGGTTGTTTTTTTCTCCCTACTTGAAAAACAGTGGTTTATTTCACGAGAATTACCTTTTATTGAATCTAATCACTGCACGGACTCTTTTATGTTGCTCTAGTTGAATAAAGTGTTTAAAAATGAAACTCCAATGGAAATTCAGCGATTCAAAGACAACGAAGTAAAACCGCGCGTGCTGCACGGTTTGGCTGTCGACGGTAATGTTTGCGAAAATATTGAGCGCGATACTTGACGTTTCGTTTGATAGACTCACATGTGTCTGACTGTCGCCGAATGACATTTACAAATTCCAACGCTGTTTGGAGAATAGGAGACAATTTTTGCTTTTTTGCTTTTTACTTGGGAATTTAAAGTTTTCAGATTGATGTCGAATTTTTGTTTTTCAGAAATTTCAATGTTTACTTTTCTGGTAATTTGATAGGCATTTCTTTTCTTAAGAGAGAGCATGATTCAAATTTCCCCTCTAAAATATGTAAAAACCCAAGCAG